TGTGTGTGTGTGTGTGTGTGTGTGTGTGTGTGTGTGTATGTGTGTGTTATCAATGCTTTATAAATATCTTGCCAAATAATTACCCTGCTTCAATGTATGAAAAGTGTTTTTACAAAAAAAAAAAATTCTTTACCGTGTTTAAATATAGACATAAAGCAATATTAAATTCTTTTTAATTTCTTTTTATTGTGAAATGTTATTTTATTTAATTTTGTCCCATTCTTTTCTTTAAAGCCATGGAAAATACTGCAGAGTTTAATCAAACTGTCTAAACCTTCACAATAAAGCAAACCATATTATTCAGCATGAGAACATCTGCAGCACAGCTAACGCAAGTTTGAAACAAAAAAAAAAATTTTTTTACTCTGCCTCCTTGCTAAAACACCAACAGCTCATGAGGTTTGAGAGGCAAAACCCCACTCTCGTTTTCTTTTTCTTTATTTTTTCTAGAAATGCACGTTTTCAGGTGAACGACTGTGATGTGGAGGAAAATGTGACTCCGGGGAGGTGGGGGGAAGGGGGTCTTTGAATGAAAAGCAGCCGTCCTGAGAGCTGCTGCTGCTGCTGCTGCTGCTGGGGGAGAAGATGAGTGAGAGTGTAGGTGAGGAAGTGGGGGGGCTTTGAAACCACAGCAGGTAGGCAACAGTGACAGGTTTACCTCCCCCTGCTCCTATGGACCTGACATCCTGTCTGTCAACACACACACACACACACACTGCAGCACACACTGACTGACAAACTCCACAGGAGGCCGACGGCTCCGGCTCTTCTGACAAGGACTCTGCTCCTGAATCCAGGTAAGAAACTGAAAACGTTCTGATGGTGAGTTYTGAGAGAGTCGAGCAGATTTGGGTTGAAGGTGAGAAGAACGTCAGAAGCTCAATCCTGAGACCCTGAAGGGGCTGGGACTTTATTTAGAGCTGAGAGGAAAAGAATTGATTCCAATTCTGTTTTGTTTCAGGACTGAAACACCTGTTAATACATGCTATCACATATTGTAATCACATGTTAATCAATGTTAAATTATTTTAGCATTTAAAGAAATGTGTCTAAAAGAGTTTTGCTCAGGAAGCAGAGATCCGATCCCGTTCCTCAGACTTCTGAGCGCTGTGTGAACGGTGGACTCCTCTGTCACTCTGTGTTGTTGGAAGAGGAGTGTCGGCCATTACAGGCCTGGCAGCTGCTCGAGCTGCAGCTCTGACACTCAGAGGGGAGTCATATTATCAGACAGGATGATGGCGGCTGCTCAGGGACTGCAGGCTATACGGGGGCCAAAGGCCACAATGCTCGAACTCYAACACGATCCAATCTAACCCTTTGTAAAATAAAAAAAGTCTGCAGAAAACTATAAAACAGGCCCGGCCTGTCAGGAGGATTAAAACACTCCCAGTCAGAGGAAATGTCACAGTCTTCTCAGGTCTCTGTGGGCTAAAAAAGTCCTGTTTTAAAAATAGTCATCACATGAGATATGAAACAATTTGTCGTGTTATATTTAAATCAACTATATATATATA